ACCTAATGTTCACAGCTAATAAGATCATTGTAGAAATTACCAGAGAAGGGGAAATAAGCACATAATTATTCTTGCTCAGAACAAGAACTACCTTCTTTGGCGTCCTATTCATGCATGTACTTTAAAGTTATGTTAGAAATAAAGTTTATTGAAGTAAATCAGAGAAAGACGAACTCCCTATGATTTCACTTATGCGGAATCTAAAAAAAAAAATTTAACAATTGAAACAGAAATAAACTCATAGATACAGAGAACAATCTGATGGTAGCCAGATGGGAGGGAGTTTGGGGGAATGGATGAGGAGTGGAAGGGATTAAGAAGTACAAATTGGCAGTTATAAAAAATTTACCAGGATGCTAAGTACAGCTTAGGGGATATAGTCAAATAATACAATAACCATTTATGGTGTCAGGTGGGTATAAGAGTTACTGGAGGATTACTTCATAAGTTATATAAATGTCTAATTACTATGTTATATACCTGAAAATAATATAATATTGAATGGCAAGTGTAATTGAAAAGATTTTTTTTTAAAGCCTAAGCTCTGACTTTTAAAAACAAGTTTCAAATCATGTTTTAAAAATAGAGAAAGCTAAAGTACATGACAGAAAAAAAACAAAATGATAAGGAATCAAAGGACAGAAAGTTAAAAGTAAGTAAATAAGAGCTAAAGGAATAGGCTACTGGTTAAACAAATAAAAAGTTCATAAAGCCAGCTAAAAGGTCATCGTCTTCAAAATGACGACAGAAAACAGGCAGAGCAGAGACCTGGAGTCCAAGGGCCATGAGCATACCATGTCCCCTGAGTTAGTTTCCAATTCAATTACTCTCTTGACGCCAGGGGCCCCTGAAGGAGGCCCATGACCCTGGGTGTACCTCCCACACAGTCAAACTGCATGGCACATCTGTGTGGTTAGACGTGTAGGCTACACAGCTCTGATTAACTCGGACTGTCCCAGATTACCCCACGACACTGTCCAGCCAGGAACCATTACTCACCTGCTAAGTCATCCTCCACTCATTGTCCCATGAGTAGGGCCCTTCACCACCCAGGGAACATCGGGGGCCCCGTTCTCTCCTTAGTGCTCAGGCTGCTTGAGACCCACGGGTCTAAGCAAGTCTTTCTTCTGTTCCTTCCAGACTATTTGCTTTTCAAATCTTTATAGGTTAGGCAGGGGGAAGCCCTGAGCCTCAGAGGTGGGACACTGAGCTGCCAAGTGGAAGGGAGGGCTCTGCTGTTGGACACCCATGAGGATTTCAGAAAAGGGCTCTGGGTTTACCTCCTGGCTCTGCCGCTTACTGGCTTCGTGCCCTTGCGGAAATTACCCTTGTGTGCGCTTCAGTTTCCAATTTATAAGACATTATTAGTGTATTCTTACTATGTGAGTGTTGCACAGTAATTAGGTCAGGAATTCATTTGGCACAGATGATACAGTGTTTTTGTTTAAAAGTTAGAATAATCAGAGATTTTTTTTATTTAATAAAGATTTAAGTGTACAATTCTGTAATACATCAGCTGTGTATTGTATTGTGTGTTCACCACCCCAAGTCAAGTCTCTTTCCGTTACAATGCACCCTCCACCCTCTTCTGCCTCCCTCTGCCCCCTTTTCCCTTTGGTAACCACCATATTTTTGTGTTTTGTTTTCTTTTTTTGCTTAATCCCTTCATCATTTTTAAGGGAATCAGCTGGAGGGTAGCATAGCTACAGAACACTTCAGAACTCACCTTTCTGGGTTAATCCATGAAATGGCTCCAAGGGGCTTCTTGATGAGGACACTTATTAGCCAGGAAGGGGTCAAAACTCTGCTTTTGGAGGGAGGGCAACTTATATCCATTTTCCTCAAGCAAGGGTCTTAACCACTGAGGCTCACGTACGCTCAGACTCACTTATTTCCCCCTTGGAAAAAAGTGGTGATCTGACAGGAGGGATCTCTGTCCTAACTACTGACGTAGTTGTGAGCCACACAAGAGACGGTACAATGGTGCTACCTTCTTCCTGTGGAGACCTGTCAGCAGGAGAGGGCGGAGCTGTCTGCCTGGGTGCACACCCACCTGGAACTGAGATGAAGCTAAAGCAACTGCAGAAGGACCTTCGTGGGGCTATCCCCCTTTCACTTCAAGTCAAGGCAGAAGTTCATCTGCCAATCTCAGGGAAGAGCCTGTTTTATGAAGTGTGGCAACCCTAAACATACCACATTTTAAGGAGAAGTCAACACTTACTAGCTGGCAAAGTGGGGGGCCGAGGAGGGATGAGAGTCAGTCTCTAAAAAAAGAAAGGCACAGCACCCAGGTTCTGATTGTGGACTTTAATGCCATGTGAGGGTCCTGAGGCTCCATGAACCAATTAAGTGCTAAAAGAACACAGGAAGTGTTTTACTGTGCACACAAACCCAGCTCCATACAGAAAGAAGACAGTGAGCCCCGGTGACCTCCCACACTCCAGATGCATCGCTGCATCCAGGCTTTGTTCCCACCACCTCTAACCCCCTGCCGCCCCACCCTCCCCCCAATTAACACATGTATACATATATGTTTATTTCAGAAAGTGCTTCTCCCATCCCAGTTCCCAATACTCCAGCTTCTGACGAATTAAAGCTTCCCTCTTAAGGATCCTGAGGCCGGCACCACCTTCATGAAAGAGCCCCTGTAAAATGGTACCCAGGAAAGCTTAGTCACTTACATCAGTCTCAAATGTGGGCAGGAGGTATGCAGAAGGATGATGTCTGAAATTCTAACCTGGATCAAACTGCTCCGTGTGAGTAGTTTTTGTTCTGTTGTGGCTGTGCATCTGAGCCTCTTCAGGTTCCAGCTTACCCCAAGATCACACACTGAGGCTCACCCCACTTTGTGGTTTGCAAAAGTCATCCTCCTCCTCCTCCAATGAGCAACCCAGAACAGGAAGACTGTACCACCCGTCTAGCCTGAGGCTCAGACAGTTCCCAGAATATCCTAAGCTCCGGGAAGAAAGAATAGAAGCTTTCAGGGCACAACTGACTGCGATCCAAACGCTAACTAACCAGAGGTGGAAAAGGGGTAGTGACGATTCCTCTATTTCTTCTATTTAGAGCATTGCCCAAAGAATTCCTCCACTGGGATGACGTAATGTGGTTGACAGTGGTTTTGTTTACGTCTTTTTGGTTGCCGTTAAGTTCTTCATTTTCACTAAATTTTGTTATGGCCTCTATTACACCATAGAGTCCTGTCTCCTAAGACTTCCACCTTCCCAACCCATGAGATGGCACGTGGGAGAGAAGGTGCCCAGAGTCAAAAGGGAAGCTCCAGAGGCAGCACTGACACATCACCAACCAGGGCCTGTCTCATGGCAGGGTGAATTGAGTCCATTGTGAGGATGAGAGGCATTTATTGACATTATGCACAAGAATTCTATAAAAATACACCTTCTTTCGATCAGAGAGAAGCATTCATCCTTTGGAACCTTCCTTCTGACCCAACCCTTCTTACACTCTGGGCCTGGCCGTTTAGAGTTAAAAAGGGATCCAACTGGGAGAAGTCCCTTTCTCAGAGACAACCTTTGTTAGGAGGCCATCATCACAAACCACCACATCCAAAAGCACTGTTCAGACCGGCCTTGGCTTCTTGTCAGAGAAGGGCCAAACTGGGCCATTGAATTCGTTCACTCCATTTAAAAAGAGCTCTAAGCTGGATGCCAGTGTCCTGGCTCTTCCTGGTCTACTGGCCTAGAACCTGTTTCCCCACCATGGCACAGAGCACGCGACCTTGAGGACATCACAGAGGGAAAGAGAAATGGGCGTCTCTAAAGAGAGGCACAGGCACAGTGTCCCTGTAGCCCCAGGCAAGTCTTCCAGGGCCTGTTTTTAGCAAGCCTGCTTTTGAGCACACCAGCCGCTTCGGGTCTTACATGTATGGACTCTAGATAACCAAGCACTGGGATGCGCTGTGCCAGTGGTGGGAGAGAGAAGGGGCCAAGGCCAGGTTACTGAAAGCAATGGGCTTAATCATCTGCTCTCTACTCACATGGACTTCCTCCTGAATAGCTTGCCTCAGTGTCAGTCAAAAAATCAACTTGTATTAGGCAGTAACACCAATCAGAGCAACTTAAACCAAAGACTTTACTGTTAGAACAATGCAAGAGGCGTGTGGTTGAGCTAAACTCCAAGCAGGGACATCAGCTCCAGAGACGTGAAGATCCACTGTGGATGAGAACAATAGGAAGAACACATACCTTGGAACCAATGAGACTGACTACTTTCCTCTTAGATTTCCATCTGTATCTCTGCTCCACTCAGATAAGAATACAAGAGTGTAAAGCCATGCCCCGAATCTCTGCTCCCACACAAGGCCCAGGAGGTCATTGCCTCATGAAGGAATTCAGCCAAGGGTCCAGGGCTTGGCCTTCTCTTACTCAGAAGGATGCAGGTGTTTTCAGCTCCCTCTTGCCCTACATCACCAATCTGGTCTTGTAAGACTTGAGATCAGTGAGGCTGTCCTCACCGGCTTTTCACATATAACAAAATCTCCCTATAAGAACACCCCAAAAATAGTCAAGAACAATCATGAGTACAAAGAGAAACCCTATTGCAGCACAGAAATGCTACCCTCCAAATACTGGTGCTGCAAAGTCTTCCTTTAGGAGATGCATGTCCCTACCCTGACTAGCTGCCCCAGGCTGCACACCGAGCAAGAAGGAGACGCAGTGGGAGCGGAACCTCGTGGATCTTTTTTCTCTCTGAAATGTGGGGAGTAAAACACAACGGAGGTTTGCTGCTGTCTTCCTACAGCCCCTGGGACAGCTGTGTCTCTCACCTAGCCCTTCCATTTCTTCTCTAGAACAGATACTCTCCTAGAAAGAGAATGTTAGTGGCGTAAAGCAAGGTTTCAAAAAGAAAGAGTTCCACCCGAAACTAATACAAAATAATATTGAATGTAAACTGTAATTGGAAAAAGAAAAACAGTCAAAAGGATGTAAAGTACAGCATAGGGCATATAGTCAATAATGTTGTGATCATTGATGTCAGATGGGTACTTTGTAAGGTAGATAAATGTCTAACCACTATGCTGTACACCTGAAATTAATATAATAAAATATGTCAACTGTAATTAAAACATAAAAAGATTTTTTTTAAAAAGGGGCTCCCATCAAAGAGTTCACCACAAACTGGATCCTGACAGATGAAATGGCAGCCAAAGAGGCATTCTGAGCTTCCAGAATGGATGTGGCATCTCAAAGATAAGATGTAGACAACTTGCCTGCTTGACTGAGAGAATCTTCAAAAGGCGTCTCTGAAATGTATAATCCAGCCCTGTGAGAAGGTAACCCTGCAAGCGAGGAAGGTTGGTGGAAGATGGAAGCAGCCGAGGCCCAGAGCAGGGCTGTAAACATTGTGCTTTTTTAAGGCCCACCTGGTGCATAGTTTTGGCAACTATGGTTACATCTCCAAAAAGTGGTGAAGAATACATTTTGGGAGGAAAGCGTCTTTTCACATCCTAACACAAAGTGGGGGGCTGTTCTTGGGGAAGGAGAGAGAGAAGGTGCTCCTTCTTCAGTCAGAGACTGTGGATTGGCTATCTGGGTTAAAATCCCCCATCATGTCCTATGTTCATACATACACTGACCATAAGGAAGGAATACCTGCACAGGGTCGAGGAAGTGATTGTGCCTACAATTATTTTGGCAATGTGGCTCTAAAAAGGGCAGAAACTCTCTTGCAAAGTCAAGAAAGTAACAAAACCTCTCTGGACTTCCTGGCCAACCTCAAGGCAGCCAGACTCACTGACCTCAGGTAAAGACTGCCCTGCCCGGAGGAAAGGCCAGGTAAGTTCAGGTACCGGGATCCGTGGGCCACAAGCCCTGAGCCTGACCCCAAGGAGTAGCAGGGGAGACTAGAGCTGCACCTCCGTCCACTTGGAGCTGTGCCTCCGGACTCAGTCCTCACCTCCGCGGGTTCTGGGGCAGTCAGGAGCCCTTCCAGGGATCTGACTCCCAGAGCCACGAAGGGAATTGGACACCCTCCCTGATGGGGCTCTCTTCCCTACCAGGACTACTCACCACCACGTGATCTTGAACTCATAGATGGGGCGCTTGCAGTAGTAGTGGTTGATGAGGTGTTTGTCACACACCCCAATGCACTGGTGGTCCACGACCAGGCCCTGGGCTTTCAGGTCCGTGACCAGGCAGTGCAGCAGGTCATACACATCAGCCACAGCCTCCCAGGGCCCGAAGGACACGTCCACTTCACAGTGGTGCTCAAAGAGCTGCCCGTCACTCTCACTCCGTTCGAAGCGCAGAGAGTTGAGGAGTGGACACTCGTAGGGGGTGATGGGCATCTCCTCCTTGAAGACACAGACCTTGAGCTTGGCGAAGCGGGCCTTCCGCTGGACTGCGCGTAGCCGGGCAATCTCCACAATCCGCTCCAAATGGTCTGTGGGGATGGACACAGCGGCCATCACTGGCACGGGGCTTAACAGGTAGGGAGTGGGAGGGCACAGAGCGCCCCAGTGATGGCAGGACCCAAGGGGGAAGAGCCAGATTCCTGGGGGAAGAGACTCTTTGGGCCTTATGCCAGATACAAAGTTAAAGAGGGGTCATGGCTCTCCATTGCAAAAGGAAATCAAGGGGATGGGATGAGGACTATCCTTTTGAAATGTGATCTGATGCCAGTCACAGGCAAGGTGGGGCCTCCTTAACCTGTATCTTTCCCAGTGTGACCAAGGAAGGGAGTTGGATTCTCCCGTGTCTCAAGTATACATGTGAACCTTGTTCTGGTACTGAGCTAGGCACTGCCAGATGCCTTCCCCATATACACTGGCTGTCCCAGGACCTGACCCCTCACCTTTGTAATAGGGCATGAGTCCCAGGAATGCCTGACGCACTTTCTCCCCCTTCAGGGGCTGCATGTTCTCCAGCTGCTCCAGGAGCGGCCCGATGGCGTAGTACTGGGCCTCCTTGTGCACAGCCCGCACTCGCTCCCGGGGCGGCAGGTCCCCGGAGCGCAGAAAGTTCAGCACGTCTCTAGCAGGAAGGAGAGAGGGCTGGTGAGAAGGAGCTGATGGAACTGGGTAGTGCCACATAGTGGTTAGGACACAGAATCTGGAACCAGACTGCCGGCTGTGTAACCCTGGGTTTGTGAACTTAACCTTTCTGTGCCTTGATTTTCCTGTCTGTAAAATGGGGGGAAATAAAAAAAAAATATATCACTCCATGATATTATAGGATTAAATGAATTAGTATATAAAAAATGCTTAGAAAATACCTGGCTTGGAATAAGTCCTCAGCAAGTATTAATAGTTCTTATTAGCAGTACCATTATTATAATTACAATTATTATTAGGTATATATAGGAATAATGGGAAGGTTACTAGTCTCTTAACATGCAGGACTGGGCAAAAGTAGGCTTACAGTTGTGCATACATAAAACACAATTTATTTTCATATTGTTATTTATTAATTCTTATATTACGTTCCATATGAACAACTGTAAACCTACTTTTGCCCATACAATAATTCACCCATTCTCCTGTTGATGGACATTGGAGTAGTTTCCAATTGGGGCTCTTAGGAGCAGAGCTGTGATGAGCATTCCTGTAGAGAAGACGTGCTGTGAACACATGCACCCATTTCTCTTGGGTAGATGTTGGAAGTAGAATTGTTCAGTCATAGTGCATGTTTAACAAAGTGGCTGTAGCATTTTACATTCCCACTAGCAATGTAGAAAAGTTCCACATCTTCTACATATCCTGCCATTAGTATTATTCTGTGGCTCTACGGAGAAGATCAAATGCCTAAACCTAACATCTGAACAAACCGGTTCCAGAATCTGAGGGAAGGGGGAGGCCGAGGCAGGAAGAGATCAACCAAAGAACTTATATGCAAATATGCATAACCTGTGGACACAGACAATAGTGTGGTAGGCCTGGGCAGGGGAAGGTAGAGGGGGCTAGTTTTGGGGGGAGGGGGAGTTGTGACATCTGTAATACTTTCAACAATAAAGAGACATTCTTAAAAATCACATACTGCATTTTCTTAAAATAAAAATTATACATTGATTTCAGAGAGAAAGGGAGAGGGGAAAGAGAGATAGAAACTTCAATGATGAGAGAGAATCATTGATTGGCTGCCTCTTGCAGGCCCCCTACTGGGGATCAAGCCTACACAACCCAGGAATGTGCCCTTGACCGGAATCGAACCCAGGATCCTTTAGTCTGCAGGCCAATACTCTATCCACTGAACCAAATCAGTTAGGGCTCTTTTCAAGTTGTTTAGTGCTAAGAGTAATTCGATCCTGCAATGGAAGGTGTGGCAAGGGCTTTTCTGTAAGGATATGTGAGTAAACTCCATGATTAAGCTGTCACCCCTCTAGTTAGTCAATGACTATAATGCAACACCAGCTAACACTAAGTATTAATCTGTGTCAACTACTATTATTTGTTATCTCACTGAATCCTTTCAATAATATTATGGGATAAGTGCCATCTTATGTCCATTTATAAATGAGGAAAAAATGGAGGTTAAGGAACATGGTTGCTCAAGGAGCCACAATTAGCCAGAGGCTCAGATGCAGAAATGGCTGACTCCAAGTCCACACCCACCCTGGTCCAGACTGTGATCCAAAGTGCTCTTCATTGACCACAATGGGAAACTGTCCCACGTGGAGGCCCAGGCAGCCTCCGTGGCAGGTGCTAGGGGCGTGTGAGCTACACCAACAGAGAAATTTACCCCAGCAAATGCCCTAAATTCCTACTTTACTTTATCTGAGTCTTTTTTTTTTAATTGATTTTACAGAAAGAGAGAGAAACATCAATTAGATGTTTCACTTATTTATGCATTAATTGGTTGCTTCTTGTATGTGCCCTGACCGGGAATCAAACCTGCAGCCTTAGTGTATCAGGACGAGGCTCTAACCAATTGAGCTACCCGTCCAGGATATTTTATCGGAGTCTATCAACAACTTTATCTGCTGCTGATGAATCATAGGCCACTGGAGCCTAGCAGTCTGAGGATAAATGCCACAATATCCTACTTTTCTGCCCAGCACCCTTGCCTGCTCTGTCATTCTCCAGCTGAAGCCAAATCCTATTTCCCCTCCCCACAACCCCTGCTAAGACTGGTCCTCCAGGATCCTAAGCAAACCTTGGTAAGCTCTGCAAAACACATCCCCAGGGCCAGCCCAGCCACGAGTGTTGTGGGAGCTGCCAGCTGGGGCCAGCACTTTCCTCCCCCAAACAGCCTGCAAACAAAAACCTTTTTATAGCTCTGCAGAGCGATGTGACACTTTGTTTTCTCAGCACTGGAGGCTGCGGACAACCCGCTGGAGAAACTCATATGCTTCAGAGCAAATTATTTGACCAGAGTCTCCTTTCTGTGGATGAAAATGACCTTCTCCCAATGTGGGAAATGCTACTGGGAGGCCATCACAGATTGGAGTTTCTGCTTCCCTGGTTGTTTTGTCCAAGGTCAAGGACCATGCTCATTCTTTAGTCACCTCCGAAGTCAGACTGAGGGGGAAAAGAGCTTCAGCCGTATACTCTGAATGGACCAGACCAGGGGGCACAGGAAGACTTTATTTAATCCACATGACAGGCCTGCAAGGCCACTATTATTGTTTTTCATTTCACAAGCAGGAACCTGAAAAAAAGTCTTTAAATGGTTTATGTGTAAGGTTGTCAGGAGTCCTTTTTTGAGAAAGTCTACCTCTTTTTTGAAAGTCTGTGTTTCCATGTTTTAGTGTTAAAATGACAGTAATAATTGAAGGTTGTTTTGGGGTGTTTTTGTTTGTTTTTTTAGACTTTTCTGGGCAACATTGAAGGATGGCCATTCCCACACCTTTTTTGTTTATTTGTTTTAAACTACTATGCCCAGCTGGTGTGGCTCAGTGGTTGAGCACTGACTCAGGAGGCCAGGGGTCACCAGTTCGATTCCTGGTCAGGGCACATGCCTGGGTGGGGATCGCCTGTGGGAGGCTTGCAAGAGGCAGCCGATCAATGATGTTTCTCTCTCATAGTTGTTTCTATCTCTCTATCCTTCTCCCTTCTTCTCTCTCTAAAAAAAAAATCAATAAAAACATATTAAAAAAAAAAAAAAAAAAACTATTGAAAGAAGTCAGGGAACTACTGTCACACACCTCCTTCCTCCCTGAAGGCAACACTAACTGATCTGAGGGTATTCTCCAGAAAGCTGTTTTGGAGCTCCCCACCTCTAGGTGGGATCACACCTATTCCTTTCCACAAGATGACAGCTCCACAGCCTTAAGTGACGTAGGACAGAAGCAGTTGCATCACAACCAGCCAGTGTGTGTTATCTGAGGTTTCTCCAGCTGTCCTTGTCTCCTCTGGAAAAGAATCTAAACATTTTGATCCATTTAAACACTTATTAAATTCTGTCAGTATGTTCTCTCCTCTTCTAGGTACTGTGGAAGATACTAAGCCCCATGCCCACCCAGGCCCCTCATTTGCTAGGACTGCAGAGACGATGGTAGAGGGAGAGACATACCCGAAGTGCGTGCCGTCCCGGTCGATGAAGTACCGGCCCTCGGCGTCGGTGGGGATGTAGTGCCGCCCGCTGAACATGGCCGCCAGCATGGTGTCCTCGTAGCGCCGCAGGGTGGACAGGCGTGTGGTGAAGTGAGCCCCTCCAATGTTAAGAGGAACAACCTCAGGAAACTGGAGGAAAAAAAACACCACACACAAACACAGCGGCATATTCAGCCAGGCAAGAAAAATGACAGCCGGGCTGCTCCGTCTGCAGTCTTCTTGGGTCTGATCAAAGCCTCACCATTCACTCAGTCACCCCAAACCAAAACCCAGGAGTCTTCCTGAACACTCCTCTCTCCTCCCTTTGCCCACACTCACCCGGTGCCAAGCCCTGTCCATCCTCCCAGCAGCTCCTAAATCAGGTCCCTCCACCCCAATCCTACTATTTCCGCTCCAGAGTTCAAAGCCTTCGTTGCCCTCCTCTTACTTCCTGAATTCACCATCTTTGTTTCCTTGCTCATGCTGTCTTCTCTGTCCAAAATGCTCTTACCGCTATCCCTTTGTCCACCTAGCAACGGCGAGTGCCCCCCTTGGTGGTGTAGACTGTTCCCTGCAGGCGCCTGGGTGAGAGTAATCTGCTGGTCCAGGTGTGTGTTCTTTTTCTAATTCACACCCAGGAACCATACAGGTTAGCCGCAGCCACTCATTCTAACAGCTTCTATTCAAGTTCCACTTTGTGAGCATTTCTGCTCTATTGTCCCCGGCCAGCTCACAAGACAGAGTTAACCAAACACGCCTTCCATTGTTGCCTTCACTGTAGGCCACATTCTTCTCCATTACAGCGCCTAGCCCAATCCATGGGTGACTTATTTTCTTCTGTCAGCCCATTCTTCTAGAACCCAAGCTTCCCGAGGCAGGGACAGCATCTTGTTCACCCATTCGGAGGCCACCCACAGCGGGGTTCCTGGATGTCTGTCGAATAATTCCTTCTTCATCTGTAGTGTGAGATGAGTCCCCAGAGCAGCTGAGGGTGTGGAGGCAAGGGCAGGGTGAAGAACAGAGAAAGATGGAATAGAGTCGCCCTGAGAAGCTCATGCGTGGGATGTTTTCTGTTCTTTTTCTCTTTTGATATCTTTTCACTCACGATGTTGAAAGGAACAAGGCCCATTCTCTCTAATTTTCCGATTCTCCTCTTGCAGATTAACTTTTTGTCCCAGTGCATACTTTTCAATATTCTGACATCTCCCAGGCTCCAGTAAAACTCTATGCATATTTATCTAGTAAGGTCTTTTCCCAGCTTTCTAATTCTTTGTGAATAAAGTAGAGTAAATATACATTAAATAAAAGTTATCCGGGGCCTTGTGTAGTGCCTGCCTCACAGTAAGCACCCAAATATGCATTGAATGGGTGAATGAAATAGTATGACAGTTCCATGTATATATGTACTGTCACTCTTCTGCACCCAAAGGATAGGAAATGCCTTCTGCTTATTCTATAGTAGGGGTGTCGAACTCAATCAGAGAAGGGGCCAAAATCTAAAATCCAGCCTAAATCGCGGGCCGAATGGTTTACTGAACAGTCATAAACTGTCATTGTGATGGAAATGCAGCGGAGTGCAGTGATGACAGCGCAGTGCGGGCCACATTGCAAGGCCTGGCGGGACGGATTTGGCCCGCGGGCCTTGTGTTTGACACATGTGCTTATTCTATAGCCCCTCTAAAGCTATTCTATGAGCCAGCAAGGACTCAAATGATCTATTATGTGCATACCAAGGATATCCCATAGCCATACCAATCCAAGTGTTTGCTCCGTATTAGAGATGAAAAGACTGAGGCAGAGAAGGAAAAGGCAACCAAGAACAGTTTAAGATCTCACGTGGAGCCATGTACTCTGTGGGGAAGCTGGCTCTGTACTCTTTCCTCCAAACCACATCATTCCCCCAAGGACAATGCACACAAAAACATACCACTGTGTCTCCAATGGCTCCTGTTCCCCAACTGCACAGAGTACTTCTACAGTTCTGCTCATTTTCACAAGGGCCCCCTGACGTTAAAGCTATGGGCTTCTAGCCCCCAAACAACACTCTCCGGTTCCCCAAAGCCTCACCTAGCCCTGCCCAGCCCCTCCGGGGTGCTGCCATTCTCCTGTCTCCACACATCACATCCTCCCCTATCTGACACTCCCTTAGCTCCTCCTCCTTCCTAGTCCCTATCTTCAGGGCCCTACAGTGCCAACCTCTCCTACTCTTCTCCCTCTTGTGAAGGGCCATTCCAGTTGTTACTATGATACTGTCATGCACGCGAAGACCAGGGGAAGCCACCGTGCACCACGGCACTGCAGCTAGGGAGGGAAAACCAGGGAGTTGTCAGATGAGTGTGGACACCTCAACCAACTGGCCTGCTTTTTACCTGCACGCAGTGCCTTACTCCACTGCCAGGGCAGCTGGGCATTGGGTTTGGGTGCCACCAAGGCCTCTTGAGTTTTCCAGAAGGCACTACCATCTCTTGGGGCTCCAGGTCCCCTTTTCACGGACTAAGTCAACCTCACTGGCAGTTGACCACTGGAAGAAGGAGGGGGTTCGGGGCCAAGTGACCTCTGAGGCAGGGAAGACACACCTGGTGCATTTTACTGGCCCTCTGGCGCCGCCCCCAGCCCGACCCCTGATCTGCGCACCTGGCGGGCTTGCATCCCAAGGTCAGCTCAGCCCAGCACCTGCGGATCCCTCTGCGTCCTCCCCGCAACCCGCTCCGTGCAGGTACCTCTTGGGGCAGCAGGGGCAGCGCGTGCCCCGAGTGCGTGGCCGTCGGGGTGGCCGGCTCCAGAAAGTCGTCCTCGGCGTCGGAGCTGGACATGGCACCGTCCGGGCGACGGCTGTCTGGCTCCCGCCCCGTGACTACCACCATCCCTCTGGCTCTGGGTAGTGGGCGCGGCTTCGGGCAGGCGGGCAGCGGACCCGGGGCGCTAGCGGGGAGCAGCGGCGGGCATGACGCGGGGCCGCGGGCGGGCGGGCGGGGTGGGGCGGAGCGCGGCCGGCGGGCTGGGGGCCGCACTCCCTCCTCAGCCTGCGCACCGGGCAGCGGCCACCGCGGGGACCACCAGCTGGGCGCCTGACGCTGGCGCCTCCCGCTACTGGCCGAGCCCCGCTTGCCCCGCCCCTGATTGGCAGGAAGCTTTCCCAGTCCTAGGGCATGGAGAGCGGTCAGCCTGCGCCTGAGTGGCTCCTGGGGCCAGCCAGCTTGTCTGTCCTGCTGTGATTGGCTCTCTGATCAGCGGACACGCCTTCTCCCCATCACTGGTCCTCTCCTCCCCAACCCCCCCAAGCAGCGGGGACACCGCCTCTGAGTGGGGGCACCACCTCTGAGGGGGGCCTAGTGGTTGGCTCAGAGGGTGGCTCGTGGTAACCGTGTAGAAACCTTATTTTCTTTAGTATGTGTTATTTTCATTTTTTCCCTTTGACTCAAATGGGCCTCACAGCGCCCTGACTCACCCACCTCCCTCTCACTTGCTAGATCATTAAGCCCTGGGCCACATTAGATAATTTTAAGAAGGAAGCCTCTGGCCTGTTGACCACAGAGAAAGAGTTTTGGTCAAACTAGAGATAACATCTAGGCCTCAGCTGTGTTCCAGCTCCAGAACACCCCACCAAAGGAATCCTTGCAAAACAAGATGAATCAAGGCCATGGCTGACATCAAGACCAGATGCAATGATCAATGACCCCCTGCCCTAGCCTGACCAGTCAGTAGAGACCACAACCCTGACCGTGACCCTAACTTATCTCCCTTCATTGTTGATTAGTGACTTTTCCCCTATGTAACCATCCACTAGAAGCCACAGGGGAACCAGTGTTTTAAGTGTTAGCTACCTGTGACTCCGGGCATAGTACCATTTCCTTAATAAATCTCCACTTTGGCTGCACACTCCTGTTTGTGTCTTATTGGGCTTGATGCCCACAGGCAAATGGACCCTTTCGGTCTGGTAATGCCATAATGGGGGCAACACCTAATAACTTGAGAGGCAGAAGGGCTCAAGACCTAGTCTTCAGTCTGCCTCCAGGGTCCTGGGTCCTGTATCTCCTTGGGTGTGGAAGGCCAGGGAAACCCGGAGTAGGTGTGGATGGGTCACTTCAATAGAGGTGGGGTGGGGGGAACACAGCTGAGGCTACTGAGGTTGTAAGACACAGAGGGTTCCTGTTCTTCCCGATTGCAGGAATCCAAAAAAGAAAACTCATCATAGGGGCAACTGAGTTCAATTAAAAATGACAAGTGAGTATCCACCTTCTCCCTGCCAGTTCCATCGCTGGACATCTGGACACACCGATGGAGACAAGTCCTACACAAAGAAGCTCAGGCTGGTGGGGTGAGGTCCAGCCTGATCCCACACACCTGGATGCTGTGTCCACTGGCACAGCTGGGTCAGCTCAGGGACTCTCCTAAGAACCAAGGTTTTAGCTCTCTCAAACCATTTTTGCACCCAGTTCCGCATCTGATTCTCACATTGCTGTGACAGAACAGGAAGGTGAGGCCTAGAGGATTAGATCAGCCTCTGGGAGGTTAGTAATGAGCTAGAGGCCCAGCATTTTATTGGACCAATCACACTCCCAGCTGTAGGTGTTTCCTAGGTCAGTATTTTCTCCAACTTTAGTTGCATCAAAATCGCTGAAGGGGGCCTTGTTAAAATACCAGTATAGATTCCCAGCCCCACTTCCAGAGAATGTGATTCGGTGAGTCTGGCAGGTAGCCCTTGAATTTGCAGTCCTACCAAACTGCTAGGTAACTCTGACACTGCAGGCCCTTGAATCATACTTTGAGTGGCACCACACTGGCCCCCAGAGGTCTTCTATCTATCACTACCATTTCAGCCTTCCTCGAAAACACCTATAACAACAATACAAATCTACGACAAAAATTCCTTTTCATCCTATGACAACTAGGATATCTCAGCTGTAACAGAACCCGCAACCAACCATGGTTTAAATAATAAAAGAATTATATTATCTTGCATAACAAAAAGTCTGAGTAGATAGATACTGGGTTGGTTCATTAAGTAACTTAACAAGGAGTTACCTGGACCAGCTTCCTCCATTTACCCACTCTGCCCATGGCCTCTCCTAGGAATCCATACGAGAAAACCCTAAAACTAAGGGCTGTCAAGGAGACATTTATTCCAACACCTGAAATCAGGGTTGTATCCAGAAAGTGAGAAGGAAACCCAGAGATTCAGGAGATAGGAAAGTCCATGTGCAGTTAGTTCTAGGTTGCTGAATGTGTCGGAGTTTTCATTTCCATTTCTGCCGAGAGAGAATTTCCTTCAGGAATGTAGGTCCCCAGTTGGTTGTGTTTACACAGGAGGGAGAAATCCAAGGTCAGCAGCCTGGAATGAGGACTTGCTGAGTGAGTAGGAAAGGGCTGGAGCAGGCTTCCTGGGAAAGCAGGGCAGTTTGCTGGCAGCTGCTGCCGCCGCCTCCCAGTGGAATGACTTCCAGGCCAGTTCACACGAGGCCTGCAGGGAACGGCAGGGAGCCTGAGGGAGGGATGCCCACAGAGCTGGGGGATGCTCTCTGAACACAGGCAGCTATAACCCTGGGACCACTCTCCCAAGAGTCAACTGAACAAACAGTTCTATAGGAATCAAGCCCTCAGATTCATTAACGGGATTCTACTTCCAATGCCTTCTCAAAGTAAAGAACTTTTCTTTTTCTTTCTTTTAAAAATATATATATTTTATTGAATTTTTACAGAGAGGAAGGGAGAGGGACAGAGAGCCAGAAACATCGATGAGAGCCAGAAACATTGATCAGCTGCCTCCTGCACACTCCTCACTGAGTATGTGCCCTCAACCAAGGCATATTGAACCCAGGACCCCTGAGTCTGCAGGCCAACACTCTATCCACTGAGCCAAACCGGTTAGGGTGAAAAGAACTTTTCAATGCTGACAAATCTCCAAAGTACCATTTAGCTACTGAATTTTCTCTCCTGATTCTAATTTACTGAATAAATAATTTAACAACAGGCACATTTCCAGTAGGGGGTGTGCAAGAGGCAGCTGGTCGATGTTTCTCTCTCATCGACGTTTCTAGCTCTCTATCTCTCTCCCTTCCTCTCTATAAAAAAATCAATAAAATATATATTTTTTAAAAATGCCGAAGCCGGTTTGGCTCAGTGGTAGAGTGTTGGTCTGTGGACTGAAGGGTCCCAGGTTCGATTCCGGTCAAGGGCATATACCTGGGTTGCGGGCACATCCCCAGTAGGGGGTGTGCAAGAGGCAGCTGGTCGATGTTTCTCTCTCATCGACGTTTCTAGCTCTCTATCTCTCTCCCTTCCTCTCTGTAAAAAAATCAATAAAAAAAATATTTTAAATAATTTAACAACAATAAAGGAAATGGAAGTAGGAATAAAAGAATGTATTTTATTTTAGTTTTAATTTTTATTTAAGTATTTTAGACATATAAATAATTATAGATATGATACATGAAAACCCACGTACTCAGAAAGTGGGGAGACGTCCGGTCAAGATAGCTGAGTGGATAAACATTGCGCTCACCTCCTCCACAACCACATCAAATCACAACTAAACTACGGAACAACCTGAAGACTAGTTGAACAGAAATCCTAGAGCTAAGGATATTCGGAAGAAACCACATGGAAATTGGTAGGTGGGGCGGAGATGGTGAAGGAGCTGATCCTACACCCAGGTGTGGTGGTTAAAAATCAAAGGGATATCTCAGCCTCAAAGGCACCCGAGAGGAGAGAGGGGTCCTGGCCCCGCGCTGGGCTCCCAGTGCTCGGAATAGAAGTCTCCTTCATTTCTAGCTGTGAAAACCAGCAGGGATTATGGCTGAGTGAGAGGGAGGCTGCTGGAGTCCCAGACGTTCCTCTAAAAGGGCCCAAGCTCAGACTTACTCACTGAGAGACTCACTAAATCTGTGCTCCAGCACTGGGGCAGCCCCTTGGAAAGTACCAGAGACAGACAGAGAGGAACTAACTTGTCTGGCTTTAAGGCAAGGACTGGAGGGCAGCATTCTCCCAAACAGAAGTGTTGGCAACCAACAGTATTCCTTTGTTGAGCCTTCCCCTCATGCAGCCTGCAGGCACAGACAGGTGCCAAGCCTGAGTCTCCGTCAACCTGGTTAACACCATTTGCCCTGCCCTCGTGATTCCCTAAAATCCCACTGCACCCCACTTGCAGCCCACCCAAACTGCTTCTAACAGCTATTCCATGCAAATGGCTTGTTTTTGCTCACACTTTGGACTTCCCTAAAAATCTTTCAAAGGTTCACAAACTGAAAACAAGCAGTCCTGGCCTCAGCATGCCTTATATCTCTTGCTAAGCAGCCCCAAGCCTGGCATAGTTTGCAGCCAGCCTTAGTTTGCATCTTAGCCTCTCTCAGGTGCCTCCAAGCCCAGCATAATGAAAACATCTGCAGATAACCGTGAAACTTATACCAGGTGGTCCCAGACCAGGCACAGGCAGTAGCTCACCTTGGTTTCACAAGAGCCCATCCAAGAGGCCCCGTACCAATATACCTGGTGGCCAGTTTCACACCCACCAGAGCCACACCCAACCATCTCCACAAACAACACAACCAAAGGGTGGACTTGTCAGGCACCGGAGCCCTACTAAATGGAACCCTGCTCCATGGGATCAACCCCTGCACAACAGTCCTCCATGTAGTCATGACCCGGCCTCACAACCAGTCAGTCTGAGAGTCTGTCACTCCCACTGACATTTCAACAGCAATCAAAGTTCAAATATAATAAAGAGGCACCCACAAGAGACACACCCGGAGCAGCTGTGACCAGGGAGATATGCCACTGAGCACCACAAGACACCAACTATGTAAGGTCACTCTACCAAGACTGGGAGACATATGAGGTGTACCTAATATCCAGAAACAAATGCAGGGGATAAGTCAAAATGAGAAGGCAAAGAAACTTTCCCCAGGTGAAAGAGCAGAACAAAATTCTAGAAAGTGAACTAAGCAAAATGGAGACAAGCAATCTGTCAGGTGCCAAGTTCAAAACACTGGTTATAAGGATCTCAATGAATTTAGGGGAAGAGTACATGAAGTCCTAAAAGTGAGAATTTTAAGCCAAAACCGGTTTGGCTCATTGGATAGAACCTCGGCCTGCGGAGTGAAAGGTTCCGGGTTCGATTCTGGTCAAGGGCATGTACCTTGGTTGCGGCACATCCCCAGTAGGGGGTGTATAGGAGGCAGCTGATCAATGTTTCTCTCTCATCGATGTTTCCAACTCTATCCCTCACCTTAAAAAAAAAAAAATCAATAAAATATATTTAAAAAATAAAGCACAATATTACGAACATAATTGTATCTGCATATGCCTCCTAATTTCTTTTTTTTAAAAAATATATTTTATTGATTTTTTACAGAGAGGAGGAGAGAGGCATAGAGAGCTAGAAACGTCGATGAGAGAGAAACATCGACCAGCTGCCTCTTGCACACCCCCCACTGGGGATGTGCCCGCAACCAAGGTACATGCCCTTGACTGGAATCGAACCTGAGACCTTTCAGTCCGCAGGCCGACGCTCTATCCACTGAGCCAAACCGGTTTCGGCTGCCTTCCTAATTTCTGCTTCCTCCTAAAATGGTGTCAGTCCATGCATTTTTTTTTTTTAACTTGGGATATATGATGTAGAAAAGTGCAAAATCATATGTGTACAGTGTGAAGAATAAGTATAAAGGAGAGACCCATATAATCACCATTCAACTAAGAAAGAGAACATGGCCAACTCCCTGGCTCTCTAAGGGCTCCTCCCTGATGAAGGCACCTCCCATGCTCCCGAGGTCCCCACTGTGCTCACTTTTCTGACAACCATTTTCTTGTTTTCCAAGCTTAACCACATGCGCATGCATCTCAGAGCAATGCAGCTTAACGTTAGCTGTTTTGGGACTTTAA